GCCAGCCAAGCCTGGAGGAGGGAGGAAAACATCCCATCTGGTGCAGCAGAGAAGGCTTCCCGGAGGAGTGTCTGAGCCACAGAGACTTGGGGGGCTTTTGGAGCCTTTACTGGTCTGTCCCATTGTTGCCCAGAAGGGAGGGCAGAGAGGATGAAGCAGGGCCTCAAATGCCAGAAGTGTGCAGTGTCCTGAGCCCTTTGTCCCAGGCTGACCCCCTCCTGCCTCAGCTCCTATGGCTGGCCCAGATGGTCAGCCATTGTTTTCCCACTCCCAGCCTCCTGGCTGCTTATGATGCCTGTGCCACCCCCAAGGAACAGGAGATGCTGCTGAGTACCATCAAGTGTGGGCGTCTGCAGAGGTGAGGAAAAGAGAGAATCTGAAGGGGGTCGGGGGATGGGCTGCCTTAGGCCCTGGCCAACCCTCACCTGCCTTGTTCTTCTAGGAATCTGGGGCCAGTTCTAAGCAGGACCTTGTCCCAGCTCTACTGCAGCTACAACCCCCTGACCTGAGCTATACTACAAAACAGATCCCATCCCTCCTAACACCCCCACCCAGGCTAGCCAGCTTTTTAACCAGGACCTTTTGGACTACAATAAAAAATCTAAATGCTTGCAGCCTTCTGTGTTATGGAAGGGATGCCAGGCTTCAAGCCCTTATGAAATGTGTCTGTACAGGGAGACAAGACCATATGGTCTCTAGTGTTTTTGTTTGCTTGCAGTACTGGAGATTGATTCCAGGGTCTCATGTGTGCTAGGCAAGTGCTTTACTACTAAACTGTACCCCCAGCCTGTCCAAACAGTGTGATGGTACACACTTGTAATCCCAGTGCTCAGGAGGCTGAGGCAGGAAGATTTCCATGAACTGAGGGCCACCAGGGCTACAAAGTGAGTTTAAAGCCAGCCTGATAGTGAGACTCTGTCTCAAGCAAACAAATAAATACAGCAAGAAAATAAGCAAGATAAATTACATAAAGGTACAAATTTCCAATGATGAATGTCATTATATTGTATACCTAAAATGTACCAGTAAAATTAATTTTAAAATAAATAAATAAATAAATATAGCAGGCACCTCAGGATCTGGGGTTCCCTGGTCAAGGAAATAAAGTCAATAGGGCCTTGCAACCTTAGATCTGTCTTTTTTCCCCCTGGTACTGGGGATTGAACCCAGTGCCTTCACACTAAGCTACATCTTCAGCTCTTTGTTTCATTTATTTATTTTTTTGTTTTGTTTTGTATTTTGAGGCAGCGTCTCACAATGTAGTTGAGCTTGGCCTCAAACTTCTGGCAATCCTCCTGACTCACCTTCCCAAGTGCTGGGATTACAGGTGTGCACCACCAGGTCCAGTTCTCCCCCCTTTTACATTTTAATTTTGAGACCCTAAGTCACCCGGGCAGGTCTTGAATTTGTGATCCTTCTGTCTCAGACTTCCAAAGTGCTGGGATTACAGGCATGTGCCATTATGCCCAGCTCTCAATCTCCTTTATGTAATTGGATGGTTCCTGATCAAATATGATTTTCATTCTTAAGAGGTTTTATACTTGGAATGGAAAACCACTCACAGTCTACTTCTCTCTCTCTCTCTTTTTTCTTTTTTGGTGTCAGGGATCAAACTCAGGATCTTGCGCTTGTGGGGCATACAGTGGAATCACTGAGCTAAATCCGTGGCCCCACCTGTCTTATTTTATAGGTTGGAAATCAGTCCCAGTCAGCTAACCAGGGCTTGTCCAAATGTCTGGTTTGAGGCAGAGCTGGAACTAGAAGCCTGGGGCTCCTGACATCGTCCCTAGCAGGGTTTCTTGGGCCCCCTGCCAACCAGTCACCCAAAACTGCACACCTTGTTAACTCCTGTGTGAAGTCAGTGGACACAGCTCCCATCAGTGGGGTCCCCTCACACACCCTGAACACATACCCCTTACCCCCATTTAGATGGATTTAGCCTGCTTCCCACAAGCCCACCCCTTCCCCAAGCTGAGATCACCCACCCACCTCAGCCACCAGGACGACTTCTTTCTCCCTTTATTGCCTTTCTCTTCTTCCCTTCACAACATCTTCCCTTATATCAGGACACAGTCATTCCTGACCCCAGGCTCCTTGGCTACAGGGGACTGTGAGGAGGGGCCCTCTCAGAAAGTGTAGGCCCCCACGAAGATGGTGAGTCTCAGTACAGAGCTGGCCCGGTAGCTCATGAGGGAGTTCAAGGTGACCATCTCCAGGTCCAACACGTACTCCCGGGGGCCGGTCACTGGCCGGGCAAGGACCAGCATGGCGCTGACATTGTTGATTTGCTGCAGGGCACAGTGGGTAGGAGGACATAGAGATTGTGTTAGCCACTATGTGCCACACCCTGACCCAACATCATCTCCCTGTCTTGCGGCTGTGGGGTGGAGAAATACAGCCTTAGCTAGGTATGACCACCCAGACTCTCCATCTGGCACTTTTGTGTTTTTTCTAAAATAGCATCTTGCTATGTAGCTCAAGGTGACCTTGCACTCACTATGTAGCCCAGGCTGGCTCTGAATTTTTAGTAATCCTCCTGCCTCAGCTTCCTAAGTGCCGAGACACCATGTCTACCTTCTCATCTGGCTCTTTGATGACACTCTGGAGATCTTCCCCACCTGTACCCAGGTCCTTCATTTGGAGATCTCATTGGTGTTCTCCCCATTTCCAGGTAGTTTTTGTTGTTTTATCTAACCAGAATTAACTAATTCAAAGCCAAGTGTGACTTGGGAGTGGTGGGACTTTTGGTGATCCAAAGCAAGCAGACTCCCCTTCAGTTTTAAAAACAAAAACAAGCTCTGATGCTAGACACAGACGTCCTGTTGAATACAGCACAATGACCACTTGTACTCCTCACTGTGAGCCACACCTGGAGCCTTACACCTACAGCTTGCTGCAGAGCTAGCTTCTCTGACCAGGTTTTCTGCACTTTTACACCTTTCCTTGTTTTATGGATAAAGAAACTGAGGCCAGCCAGATGTGGTGGCACACGCCTGTAATCCCATTACTCAGGAGGCTGAGGCAGGAGGATCGCTGTGAGTTTGAGACCAGTCTGGGCTACATAGTGAGTTCCAGGTCAGACTCAACTACATAGTCAGACCCTGTCTCAAAAAACCAAAAAAACCAAAAAAAAAAAAAAAAAAAAAAAAAAAAAAAAAAAATGAAGAAACTGAGGCCAGATAGGGAAAACCAGTACCAGGCCCCAATGATCCAGTGCTTGTTATTCAACATCAACAGTTTATACCCTGGGAATGTAAAACACTACTGCCCCACCCCACTTCTCACAGAAACCCCGCCTTCAGGGACGGGACTTTGGGGGAGGAGGCAGCGCAGAGAGAAGCCCAGTCCCTCATTTGGGGTTCCTGGAATTCCATTATAAATCATGCATGTCAGATGAGGGGTGGGAGCAAGGGAAGGCCTTACCCTAATGTAGAAGTCCCCTTGCGAATTTCCAGAGCGTATCTGAAAGGCATTGTAGGCTCCAGGGTAGACAGAGGTGGCTTGGATCTGGAACACATCAGCGGGCACACTCCGCTCGGAGGTGATGCTCATGTAGCGGTGCACAATGGATGACGGCTGCTCCCGGCACAGAAGGTTGGAGGTAGGACAGAGGCAGCGGCTAAGGACACGGAAATAGGAAACAGGAATAAATACCTGACCCATCACCCAACCCTAAGAAGAGGGAATCCCAAGAGGACCTGCCCATTCCTGGTACAAGACTACAACTCCCATCAGCCCTCAGAGCACATACCAGCCCCATTAGACACCAATCTATGCACATAGCCCTCTGGAAGTTGTAGTTTTGTTGGGGAGCCTGGTTCGCTTCTTGACTCACTTGTCAGACACCTGAACGTAGGGCTCAACACAGCGGTTGGTATCCACGCAGCGGTAGCCCCCATGGAAGTTGACACAGGTTTGGGCCTCAGAGCACTGGTGTGTGCCAGATTCACACTCATCAATGTCTGTGCCAGGGGAGAGGGGCTAGAATCTGGAGTGTCAGACCAACAGCCCCTGACATCACCCTGCCTACCCCATATGGGCAACCAATACCTTGGCAGAGACGTGTGGCCAACAGCTGGTAGCCCTGAGGGCAGTGACAGGAGAAGCGGCCTGGCTCGTTGACACAGCGATACTGGCAGAGGTAACTGGAGTAGCTGCACTCATCGATATCTGGGAGGTGGGGGGGGGGATCAGGACCCTGAGCCATCCTTACAATTGGATCCCACAAACATTTACTGGGAGCCCAGCCCCACGTGAGGCTGAATATAGGAAGAGAGAAAAGGATGAGACAAGCCCTGCAAAGCTCAGGACCAGGGGTTCTAAGAAAGGTCCAAGGGTTAGGGATATAGCTCAGTGGTAGAGAGCCTACTTAGCATGCACGAGATCTTGGATTTAATCCCTAGCACTGCCAAATAAAAAGATGGAAAGGTATGTCTACTCAAACCTTCCTGCTTACAGACCTCTGTTTTTGCCCCAAGACTGTAAGATAAAAAAAAAAAAATAGTAGAAGCCAGGTGGGGTGGTGTATGCCTGTTATCCCAGCACTTGGGAGGCTGAGGCAAGGGAAGTCTCTGTGCATTTGAGTTTCAGGCCAGCCTGGGCTACATAGTGAGACCTTGTGTTTAAAAAAAAAAAAAAATTTTCTACATAGTGAGACCTTGTGTTTAAAAAAAAAAAAAAAAATCTAGACTTGGGAGTGAGTCCTACTGACTGATTTTGGGGAACCTCAATTTTCCTGCCAATAAATTACGAGTCCTAAGGAGTACGTGACCCAGTGAAGTACACATTGAGGACCCTGGCCTCATCTCATTCTTGCTATGAAGAATTAGGCAGGTCACTTAATCTCTTAGTGGAAGGATGAATGGCCCCATTTACCCAAAACTTTATGCTTATTTTTTGTAATCCTTTTGACAAACCTGGAGACAGATACCAATGTCCTCCTTTGACAGAGGAAAGAAAAAATATGCCTTCCTAGGATAATTGCTTAGATTAGCAAATCCAAGTATATAAGGAAAGTGACCTGCTCAGTACAGGTTCTCAATAAATGGTTGTTCACTTTAGCTACTTCAGACTTGATGAAGCCTATTATTGTCCTACTTCAGCCTCTAGACAACCCATTTTACAAAAGAAACAGCCTCAGAAAAGCAGCTTGTGCTAGTGCAGGATTTGAATGCAGGTCATCCTGACTCCCAGGAAGAGAGTGACATCCTTCTCTGTCTCCCAAGTGAGATTCAGTAGAGGCCCAGTTGTGTCTTCCTGCCAAGCTGAGACTGCCCGGCAACAAGCCCAGAGTGGAGCGCGTGAGTGGTATATGGGTACAGACAGAGACTAGGCATGAAGCAAATAAAGGACTATGTGGCTGGAGGCAGCACGGCCTGAGGTAGGGTATGGGGGACCAATGTGGGAGCCCAAGGCAGCAGAGGGCCTCTCACCGCTGCAAGAGAAGCTGTCCCGATGCAGCTCATAGCCCTGGTTACAGCGACACAGGAAGGTCCCATAGGAATTGAAGCAGCGCTGCTCGCAGGGGGCTCCCATGTCACATTCGTTCACATCTGGGGTTGCCAGGAAAAATGGGAAAGTGGAGCAACAGTCCAGAACCACCACACACTTCAGCTGGACTGGAAGGGAGCTCCCTCCGCAAACCCTTACCACCATCTCCCCCCAACAGAAAGAGGGGCCTGGCCTGGCCCAGCCTCACCCACACAGGAGCGGTTGTTGGGCCCCAGCTGGAAGCCCGGCTCACACTGACAGCGAAAGGAGCCAGGCAGGTTGACACAGCGGTGCTGGCAGTAGCGGTAGCGGCACTCATCTATGTCTGGGATGGAAGCAGGGGAGAGGGCAGAGCAGAGGTCAGGTGGGACCTGAGCTGGCTGGAACTCAAGGCCTCAGCACTCGTGGTCATGTCTGTCTGGGGAGCTGGACAGGGCCAGGACCAGGTCAATCAGGAACCCCCTCATTACAGTCTCTGTCTAATGACAGGAGGGCACAGGTAGCAGGGGCCTGATATAAAGCTCAAAGGGTAGAATAGAGGTCAGGGACTATGACCAGAGCTAGACAGAAGGCACAGAGCAAGGTCTGAAGGGGTCACTCCTTGGACTCACCCACACACTCAGGCCCAATCTTGCGGTAGCCATCGGGGCAGGTGCACTGGTAGGAGCCTGGTAGGTTATGGCAGTCCTGGCTGGGGCGACAGTCATGCAAGGCCTGGGCACACTCGTCTACATCTGCGGGAGACACCACTCAGCCCCTGCCTGTAATCCCACACCAGCAAACAGGACAGATACCTCAATTTGGGAGAACAACACGGGCCAGATACCATTCACATGGTTGCATGGGTGATTGGCACCCCAAAACACGAACATGGAAATTAGATCCTCCCAACACAAGTGACAGTCCACCAGCCTGGGAACCAACAGGAAAGGTGCCTCAAATCTATGACAGCTCATGTCAGGTGAGTGTATGTCTGTGCACCCCACCCCAGCAGTACTGGACCCTAGAACCCTCCCTCATCCAAGGCCCATGGCTCCCAGACGGGTGATCCAGATCAGAAAGGGAAAGGGGCAGGGGCTGGGCGGCAGAGCCCTTTGATGTCTCTGTAGGAAGTAAGGCCAGGGTTCCAGGGGCTGGCCTGCTGAAAGTGGAGATCTGAGTGAGGGTTGAGGATGTCTCCCTGAGGAAGAGCTAGAGGCCTTTGAGCAAAGGAGGAATATGAGGTCTGAGTTTTAAAAATTCTTAGTAAGAGGATAAAATCTGGGTGCCCAGATGGTCCCCACTCACCCACACAGCTCTCCTGTTGGTCGGGCTCATAGCCTGGTGGGCAGGTGTTGAGGTGTTGAGCAGGGGGCACTGGTGGCGGGGGCCCCTCACCATGCAGGTCATTGATGACGGCAGCTGAGCGTGGCAGGCACAAGTAGCCCCCATAGTGGTTGATGCATTTCATTTCCCCCTTGCAGGCCTCAGGGATGGTCAGGCACTCGTTGACATCTGCAGAGAGGGGTCTGCTGGGCACAGCCAGTCTCCTGGGCTGGCCCTGGAGGGAGAGGGAGGCAGCAGCCCTGTTTGGCTTTCTCTAAACTATGGATTGAGCAAGGTCTAGCTTCTCTTCTCAGTGGGCTAAGGCTGCCCTCCGAAGGCTCTGCCAGGGCTGGAGGTGGGAGGCTGTTCCAACAGTTGCCCCCCTTTTCCTGCCTCCAAGTGGGTCTCTATCCCTCCTCATTGCCCAGGCTCTAAATCAGTTCAGGCCGGATATGCAGGCCTGCTGACCCACCCCTGTGGACACTGCCCTCCCAGGTTGCAGTGGGACAAAGAGCTGAACAGGAGAGTGGCTCACACAAAATACAGTATGCACAGCCCAGCTCCTCCAGCCAGTGCCCAGTTGCTCTCTTGCCTATTGGCGGGTAGAGGTGGCTTTCCTGGGTTTCATGGAGGAAGGAGCCACCTCTCGCTGAGCCGTCCCAGAGAACCAGAGTTGGCCTGGGCCCAGCAGATATACAGTTCATAGAGTTGGGGGTGTCCTTGGGAAGCAACAAAACTCCCTGGTTCCTGGGGGATCCGGAGGCACACTCACCCCGGCAGTGCTGGCTGTCGGGGTCCCACTCATAGCCATCTGTGCATTCCTGGGAGGGAACCAGAGGTGGCCAGTGATCGCCCCAGGTTTCCTCCCACTGGCCAGGCCAAGACCCAGGCCTGAGCCTGGACACCCTTCCTCTGGGCCTGCTCCAAACAATGGCCCCCTGCTGTTCCACCCACCAGGGGAAGGGTGAATCTTCCCTAGCAGCAGCTGCTCCAGAATTTTGTTCTCTGTCCCTGATGATCTAGTCCCAGGCCAGTGGCCCCAGGGTCCCTACCGTGTAGCTGTCCGGCTCTTCGGAATCCTGGGGATATGCTGCCCCCAGGAGCAACATCATCAGCGCCCAGAGCAGTAGAGACCCAGGGAGGCAGGAGGCGAAGGGGAGCATCCTGGGGCTGAGAGATGGTGGGCAGGGCTCAGGGGTCTCCACCATGGGACCCCCTACTCTCAGAATCAGCCCGAGGCCCGGTTGCCTCCGCTCAGGACCGTACCGGGGCCCGGCAGCTTCCAAATCTAGGGGCCGAGTCCTCTCACCGACCCAGCTTCCAGGCCTGGGCCGCCCCGCCCCCGCCAGGTCCCGCAGCAAGGAGCTCAGGCCTCTGGGCTCTGAGCTGCGCCCTCTCGGCAGACTCTGGCCCGTACCTTCCCCCCAACA